TCCAAAGACATGAGGAGTCAGTAAAGAGCATTGCAGAAGGTAAGACTAAACAGTTGAAAGTTCTAGTGGCTAGAACAATTACGAAGACAGAGCTGTTAGATTGACAGGTAGAAGAGGACATTGTTTTAAAATAACTGTAGGCAACTTCTGGTGGAAAGTAGGACAACTGGAAAGTAGATTCCAGAAGGGCTGCAATTCAGATCTAACACCCATTCTTCTACCAGAGTGTTTAGGGAAATAACCATGAATCAAGAAGCAGTCTGGGAAGTACACTTGGATTTTCTTCTCCATTTTACATAGACTTGAACATGGTAAAATAAATAAATAATTAACAAGTTTTCTCACTATGAGGACACTGGGCAATGACAAAGGGGAAGAAAAAAGCCACAGAACTGAGAAGCTAGGGGATTTCAAAGACACCTTTATTGTTTTGCTTCAGACTGGTTGTAGGAGACTGAATATGTGGATCAGATTTGGCCTAGCCTAAAAGCTTAACTCTGGGGTAGCTAGGTGGTGCAGTGGATACAGCACTGGCCTTTGAGTCAGGAGGACTTAAGTTCAAATCCAACCTTAGACACTTACTATCTGTGTGACCCTGGGCGAGTCACTTAACCCTGATTGCCAAAAAAGAAAAAAAAAGAGGCTTAACTCTGCTGTAAGCCTGGCCTGAAGTCCTTATGAGGACACTTTTTAGATTACATCCAAATCTGTGCTTAGGCTCTGGAACAAAGCATCACCTTTTGGTCTTGTAGACAAGGGGATGACCTAGACTGGATCTACGTGTTGCATCAGACTGAATCATTCAAGCTCTCCTTGTTCTGGCTCAAGCTCTCCAAGTCCAGACCAGAACTGGACCATCCTTTACAGGGATTAGGATGAAGTACATACCACTTTTTAAAGCATTTACCTTCCTACACCAGTTTCCTTGTCATTGGTCCTGCAGAAGAGTGGGCAGCTAAAGACTGAAGTTTATTCTGCTGAAATATTCTTTGGAAATGGGATTGTCTAGTTCTGTCATAAAAATAAATAAAAGTTGCCATAATAAGTCTGATACAAATATGCTTCCCATTCATTCATGTTAGTGGGCTTTTTTTTTTTTAGGAGAAAGGAAAAGGGCTGAACAAAAACATGTAGTTGAGTAAGAAAATTGTCTTATTTCTTTAGCATGGTTGCACTGTTACACATAGTGGACATGTGTACAAACCATTTTTTTAAATATCACTTTTGTTCAAACACTCTAAATCATTTTTAAATATCACTTTTGTTCAGACACTCTAAATTCTTGAAATAGACTATTCCCTGTTCACTTTAACACAAAAACATTCCTGCTAGCTTGCTAAGAATGCAGCCCCTTGTTGGGCTGCTGGCTTTCTAGTTTGAGGCTATGAATCTAGTCATTTCTCAATTTTGAGCTCTTAGTTGGCCACTCAGAAGGCAGGTCAACCAATAGGCAGCTTAGTCTATACAGTGAAACAGTGTTAATATTGCTCTACAAATATTCAGCTCTTTACTATCACACGGACAAGGACAACAGGACGACTGTATACATTTTACCCAACCCTAGCTTGTGAGTCTGCTTTATTAGGCATGGCTGGTGTTAGGAGTCCTGGGAGCCAGTGGTGGCACTACCAATGATCAGCTACGAGGCGGTCACTCATCTTTAAGGAACTTGTTGGGAAGTCTTGCCACTTGCCTCATGAGCAGTCATCTATTGCTACTCTTGAGCTTGAGAATCCTTAGGCAAAATGAGCTCTGCTTGATTCGTCTTGGGTTCTTAGATTGCTATAATGACACAAACTCATCTCTCATCTTAGCCATCCAGGTGATGTTGCTGTGCTTCATCATGATGGAGCTGAGGCTTAAAGACCTAGGAATGTTTAACCTGGAGAAGAGACAACTTAGGGTGGGCCATGATTCCTATCTTCAAATATTTGAAGAGCTATCATGTTAAAGAAGGATTTGATTTATTTTCTTGTGCCCCAGAAGACCAAGGAGGCAGAAGATTCAGAAAGGCAGGTTTGATTCCATAGAAGGAAAAACTTCCTAATAATTAGAGATGGACAAAAGTATAATGGGCTGCTTTGGGAAGTACTGAGTTCTCCATCATTAGGGGATGACCATTCATTTATAATAGGAAGATAAATACTTTGGGTATGGGTAGATGACCTCTAAGATCCCTCGAACTCTTAGATGATTGGATGTTTAAAAAAAAAACTATGACAAATACCCACTTGAGTGGATTCTGAGATGTTTAAATGGTTAAAAACTATGATAAATATCTACTCAAGTAAATACTAGACCAATTAGATTGTACAAATGGGCAGAAAATTAGCAAATCATGACTAATTTTGGAGGCTTTTTAAAAATAAAAGGAATCACTAAGTTCAAATAAACTCAACTCTAACATAATGAAAAATAATTTTAAGTTTGGAAGGAGAAAACAGATCAATCTCATTATGTAATACCAAATATTCACTATGTATGCATAAAAAGTATAGGTGGAGATAGTTTGCCTTAGTGTGTTGAAAGCTCAAAGTTAGGAAGATCTAGGTTCACATCCCACCCCTAAAGCATACCAGCTATATGGACCTGAGCAAGCCATTCAACTTCTGTTCGGTAGACAACTCCCAAGGATTTACCTACTAATTCAGACCAATTCGATTCAATAAGCCTTTATTGAGAGCCTATGCTAAGTGCTAAGCCTTGCGCTGGGGATAGAAAGACAAAAATGAAACAGTCCCTTCCCTCAAGGAGCTTATATCCTGTTAGAATTCTATTATTATTATTATTCTATTAATATTATTATTAACAATATAGAGAGAGAGATGTCCATACCCAGTATAGAGAGCAAATGCAAATTTCATGGAGCCAGGAGATTATTAACAATGCATTAGAAAAAGCTTCCTCTGGGAGGTGGCACCTGAATTGTGCTTTGAAGGATTCTATAAAGCAGAAGTGCAGAGGAAGTGCATTCCAGCTTGTGCGAAGTTAGGGAATATTGTATGTGGCCAGTTTGAGTGAAATGTGGGAGGCAGAGTAAAATGTTACCAGTGTGGAAAGACAATAAATAGGTTGCAGCCAGATTGTGAAGATCATTAAAAGTCAGATAAAGGATTTTGCATTCTATTCTAGAGTTGTTTTCTGTCCTAGTGGCTATAGGGAGCCACTGAAGCTTCTTGAGCAGAGACATGACATGGCCAGATCTGGCAATTGTGAGGAAGATAGTTTCAAAAGAGACTAGAAGAATGAGACCAAGCTCCATGCCTTTGCACTGAGTATCCCTGACCCCTAACTCCAACCCGTTGGAATCCCTGATTTCCTCCAAGACTAAGACTTTCCTAATCACTTCAGCTGCTAGTGCCCTCTTTCTCAAACTTGGTATATTCAGAAGTGAAACTTGCATGTCACACTTTGCTCTCATTATTTTCAGTTATTTGTATATACTGATATATACATATATATGTGTGTGTGTGTGTGTGTGTGTGTGTGTGTATTATGTGTATGTATGTACGTGCTGTCTTCTGTTAGAATGTAAACTCCTTGAGGGTAGGGACAATTTCACTTTTGTTTTTATATCCCCAGCCTCTTGTATGGTACCTGGTACATAGTAGGTGCTTGATAAGTGTTTACTATTGGATTGAATATTCCATGGAGAGTTGATAAGAACTGAAATGAGATGGTAGCTATGTGTGAGGAGAAAGAAGGAAGAATATGAGATATGTTTTAGAGGAATAATAAAAAAAGACTTGGCAACTAATTGGATATAAGGGGTGAGGGAGCAGAAAGGTTGGATCTGTCTTGTTGGAGGGGGATCCCACACTCTGAGTCCCCCATAAAGTCAAAATCACAGATCCTTTGTATATTCACATATATATTCAGGTTAGACAAGAGCACCCATCCTCTTCAGCCACCATCTTGAGTTGCTTCTATCATTTCCTTCTCTCCATTATCCCACTTCCAGAATTCTTTGAGAAAAGGCTTGACTTCACTGCATGTCTATCTCCAGAGTTCTACCTTCTCTGGTTTTCAAATCATTCCCATGTGTGATTGCTTCCTAGATTTCTACAAGGTTATTTCCATCTGGGCTGTGTAAGCAACCCTTAGCTACTTAGATCAGTACATCTTAACACTCACCAGCTAGTGAACTTTTTACCTGAGTCTGACTGAAGCACATGCATAGTTTTTGAGAAGTCAAAACAATGCAATCAATGCTACATTATCTCATTGACAGAGCCAGCTTAATAGCCGTGGTTGCATAGCATAAGTCTGAACCCCTTATTAAAGGAGCAGTGTCAGAACCCCAGCCCTCCACTCCATTTCTTTTTCCCTGAGTCAGTCTTTTTCAACTTGTCATAATTTAAATTTGTGAAAAGAAAGATACTGAAACTGGGTATTCACACTGGTTGTAGCTTTATACACACACACACACACACACACACACACACACATATATATCTTACATGTATATGTAGTCTATGTGTACATAATATATATTATAAATCAGAAGAGGTAGGAAAACCATAGCAATTTTTACCCTGTAAATAATGCGCAAAGTAGAATTTTTTATCACAGTGTTTGTTTCATATTTTGAATGAGATTTATATTCAGCAGTGAGGTTGGCTTTCACACATAGCACCTGATTCACTTTTCTTAAAGCATAGCATGGCTTTTTAGTAAATTAATCTTGTTCTTTTTTGTAGCATCCAATATACTTGGAGGTGAAATAACTTGCATGTCACACCTTGCTCTCATTATTTTCAGTTAGCATTAAGAAGAAGAATCTGGAGAACACATGGTAATTTGTGGGCTAGTGAGGGAAACTGTATATTCACGAGTGTTGATATTTCTTCACTCGTAAGTTAAGAAGTGGAGTATCCTTTAAGGGAAACCAGGGATGTTCTGTGTCAATCCAGACATGAGGCCTTCGACTCATAGAAAATGCCAAGTCTCAATCAACAAATCTTTATTGTGCACCTAGTACTGTGCACAGGAGAACAGAACAAAAAAATTAAAACACAGGAATTTGCTCACTTATTGGAACCATTAGAGAAAATTCATGCTTTCTAATTTTTTGATTATTTGGTTATTTAATTGTCTCCTTTGGAAGAATCAAGAGCTCTAATACATTCCTAAGATTTAGAAAAGGAGATAAATGGGTTGTAAAAATTTGGTTGGGGTGGTATTCTCTTATCTGAAAATTGCTTCCTGAAATCCAGAAGCATTGTTCGAAGATGCAAATGGGAAATGTTTTATTCTAATCATCTGGGAATAGAATGACTTGCTAGAAGATCTGTGGGTCTCTCCTCCCCCAACCCATCCCGTGGCATCTTGGTGTCAAACTAGCGTGAATAGTTAGTAGGCTGCTGTCATACACGGAATACCCCAGGGAAGCAAACCTGTCTTCAGGGTTTTCTCTCTCTCAGCATTCCCAAACATTGCTTGTGTTTTATGGTGTGTTGTATTCTGTGTTTGGGTTTTTTTTAATTTTTAACTTTCCCTACCTCTACATTTTCCTCTTCTGAGGAACATTGCTCAGAAATACCAGAAAATATATTACATAGCTTCCTAACTTTAGCTTTCTCTCATTTTAAAAAGCAATCAACCACTGTTCAGGATGCAAGGTCTGTCTCCCATTGAACTTCTGCCCTTCACCCATCTATTAAAATCTCACCTTTTTTTAAGTCCAGGAAAAAAAATACAGAAGAAAAGACAAACTAAACAAGCAGCTTCGTAGAATAGAAGATATAGCTGAGCACAGACCAAAATTTAGAGTATTTCTAGATGAATCCCTCGTGTTATCAGATTCTTGGGATTTCAGCAGTCCCAGCAGAGAAGTAGAGGAAATAATTATTGCTGCAAAGAATTGAGATGAGTTGACTCTACTTTCCAATTCTCCAACCAAGGCTTTTCTATTGATCTCAGAAAGAATGAGGCCTGGGAAGAAGACATAATATTAGTTCTAAGTTCATTGCAGAATATTGAAAGTACTTAAGCATTCTGGACCTCAGTTTCCCTACCTATAAGATGGGTCTAATACTTCTTTGTGCCTAATTCATGAAAAGCATGCTCAAAAGGTGATTAAAATTAGTTAGTTATCTAGTTCCCAAGCTACTTACTCAAGGGTAAGCAATTTGGAAACTAGGGGCAGGGGCCACCCAGACCAGGAAATTACCCAGAGCTTAGCAAATTAATTAATTTAAATGAAATGAAAGCAATTAATATAGCTTACAGAGTTTTATAATCCTAGAACCTTAGGAATGAAAAAGATCTTAGTCAACAAGGATTTATTAAGTGCCTATAGTGCACCAGGCACCGTGCTAAGAGCTGAAGATGAAAACAAGAACAAAAAGCAGTCACTGCCCTCAAAGAATCTAGTCTAGCACCCTCATTTAACACCATTATTCCGCAAGAAGATTTAGGCACTGGGAGGATATGACTAATATTCATGTAGGACTTTTGACTCCTTGGGAAGATGGGAGTTTTTTTGTTTCTTGGGGGGGGTAGAGTGAGGAGAGGGGTGATCCAGGCTTGTGATACCTCCTAGTACAGAGAATCTCTTTACAAATAGAGCTAAAGCAACTTTTCTGTAACTTAGAGCCTCAGAGTGTTGCCTGGGAGGAGGGAGGATCAGTTGGTTCCATTAGTAAACTCAAAACCAGCATTTCAGGACAGACCTTCTGATGCCTTCTGGTGTTCTCACCATCCTTCCATGATCCCTGTCAATGGGAACTCAGCTGAGCCTGTGTTCTTCATTGTGATGATACTACTTTGTAGAGCAGAAAATCTGACTCCTCCTATGAGAGAAGGCCCTTACAGGACCTGGCCCCATGCCTCTTATGTTTATTGCATTTGTGAGTTGCCTGCTGATCTCTTTAACTGCTGCCTTAGCAAACGGGCATAGACAGTGAACACATAAGAAAAGATAGGAAGATGGACAGTGTTCTTGGGATAAGTCAACAATACAAATATTTCCAGATTTATATTTTCTTAAAATAAGCTTTCCAAACCCATGCCCCTAACCTTGTTTATCTATCTACCCTAGGCCCTCAGTTTACATAAGAGTTCTTCATACTATTATTATTAGGTGGGGCCCTAATAAGATTTAGGATAATCTTCCATCCACAGAGCAAACCTTTCAGCCACTGTTTTTTGAAACATTACTAAACAGGCCTTCAGGGCAAGGCTCTTGGGAAATGGTATTTCTTGCTAGTAGATGGGAGGAGGCCACATTTCCAGAAATATCTCTTTACTGTTTCAAGCTAAGTGCTGATAGGAGTAAAAAGAATTGGGTTATTTTAATTCAGATACAGGTGACCATTTCGTTTAAGCTGGATATGACCGAGCTTCAGGCCAGCTCTGTTCTGTGTCGGCCTCAATGTTCTCACTGCCACTCAACATAGCTTGTCTATCCATTCTGCCGCCCTCCATGCTGGGGACAGGAAAGCTTGAAGATGATGCCCCAAAGCCTGACAGTCGTTCTAATGAGGCTTCACTTATCCAGAAGCCAGACTTCTGACAACTTCAGCTCAAGGGGAAAATGGCCCCAAACTTTGACTTAAATAAAAAGGTCTGTATTTATTTTTGTTTGTCACAAAGCCAGACCCACCCTTTATCAAGCTCTTGCTCAGAATTTCATTGACTCTTACTTGCAGATTAAAAACTGCAAATTAGGAGTTTGGAAGAGGGGAGAAAAGGAGCTATTAGAGGCAGGCATAGTCAAGGCTGGAGTGGTAGCTGACCAGCTGACATCTGGAATGGAAACTAAAAGGTTGGAGAGCAGACACAGCTAGATTAGAGTATCCATCGTAAGGTAATGGATGTTCATTATTATGATCATGATTCATCAAGAAAAGGGTAAATTATATTCAGCAACCTCTGCTGAAGAAGCCAAGAAACATTTTCATCCAAAATAGTTTAAATTATTTTTTAAATGTTTATGTGTGAAAGAGTCTCCATTAGTTTCTTGAACACATCATTTGTAGATCCCCTCCTTCTCTGACTGTGTCAAGTGGATGGGTCATGCTGGGAATAGTTGCGAGGGGGTGGGGGGGCCGAGGGGACTAGGACTCTTTTCAAAATGTAAATTATTTTTTGCTACTAGGTTTGGATGGCAATCCAAAGAAAGCATAGAGTAGTGGAAGGATTCATGGATTTGGAATCAGGAATCCTGTCTTTAGCACATTCTTGCTATGTGATCTTAGACAAGTTATATAACATTTGCAAACCTCAGGTAATCCTGAAAATTTATCTAATAAGTCACAGATGGTTTCAATCTGAATAGGTAAAGGGAAGAAATCACATAATCATAAGATCATAGATTTAGAACTGAACAAAACCTTAGAAGTCACAAAATCTAAACTCCTTATTCAAGATCACAAGTGGCTGATTTAGGATTTGAACCCAGATCCTTTGATTCTTATTTGACCATGGATGGCAACAAGAGCTCTTTGTAATACCTAAAAAGGAGTCAATGGTTTTCTTCATAAATGATCTCCTTTCTGTTATGATCTGGATTATATGTGGTCAAAAAAGAGTCTTCTGAAATTCTGGGGATTTAAATATGGGGCTATCAGAGGTATAGGGCATTAGGGTGACAGCAGCCTTGGTGGACTTGAGAAAATTACTCAGTCTCTGTTTTTTCCTCTCTCAGTTGCTGACACTCCATAAACTGACCAGGGCAGACCTTTGGGCAAAAGGGTGACTTTGACCTTTTTGTACTTGTTGATTTGACAAACAGGTACCTCACAAAGCTACAGAAACCTCCCAAAGAGCAAGACCCAATTCTTTTAGGAGATTATGGCCTTATGTTCAGACCCTGCCATGCTGTATCATTTTATATGGAAAGAAGGGTCTTCTTAGCAGAGACACTAGAGTGATTTGCCATTTCCTTCTCCAGCTCATTTTACAGATAAGGAAACTGAGGCAAAGAGGGTTAGGTGACTTGCCTAGGATCACAGCTGCAACTGTCTGAGGCCAGATACGAACTCAGGAAGATGAGTCTTCTATCTGCTGCAACATTTAACTGCCCCAAAATCAGATGAATACAAAAGTATCCATGTCAGAGCAAATGCTAAAATGCAGGAGGAAGTGAGTTCAAATACAAATGGATAAACCATGACCCAAATTGCTTCTCAAATTGTTTTGTTGAAAGAATCGTTTTGGGGGTTCAAATCCAAGAGATCAAGTAGCTTCTAAATATTGCAGTCCATGTATGTAACTCCTTTATTAGAAGAGCTAACCTAAGTTAAGGTAACTAGACATTCTGCTTTGGTTTAATTAAATTTTTGGCATGTCCTGAGTGGACATAAATCCTAGAAAATGTCTCCAGGGATGGATTATGAGGCTCAGAAAATTGAAATATTACTACCTCTGATTTTGTGAATGATCATGGCGAAACTAGGCTGATTATTGTGATAATTCACCAAGTATTTCATAACTGGCAGGTCTTAGACCCTGGAAAGGGGCCCCTCTACCCACATGACCACATGACAAAGCAAAGGGACCCTAGCAAGAAAAGCACGGTGCAGCAGGGTTCTCCAGCTGACTGCAGCCTGGGCCTGGAGTGAAGATGGAACAGCAAGCTCCATACAGGAATCTCCTCTCATCTTACCAGAATTAGTCAAACGCAATCTCTTTGAGGGCAGGGCCCACTTTTGTTTTCAATTTGCCTTTGTATACAGAAGGGCTGGCAGAGTGCTTAGAATATAGCAAGTGCTTACTAAACACTTGTTGGATTGGAGTAGATCTTCTCTTCCTACTCTTTGTTCCTCTCCTTCCCTCCCCTCCGACATTCTTCACTACCTCTCCATGATCACTGATATTGTTAGCATTATTATATTTATTTATATTATATAATTATAAAACATAATAAATGATACAACATATTTATGTTATTTAAGTTTGAACCTTAAATTATTAGTGTAAGCATTCTGGAAGACAGTTTGAAATTATGCAAATAAAGTGTTCAAATGACCCTATCTTTTGTCCCTGAGATTATACTGCTGAGCATATAAACCCAAGGAGGTCATTGCCAAAAAAAAAAAAAAGCCTCATATGCACCAAATATTTATAGCAGCACTTTTTTTTATAGGAATGATCTAGAAAGAAGATGCCTATCATTTAGGGAGTGGCTAACAAACTGTGGGACATGAATGTAATAGAATATTACTGTGCAGTAAGAAACAGCGAAGATGATGAATACAGAGAAACAGAAAGATTTCCATGAACTGATGCAGGGTGAAGTAAGCAGGGCCAAAGAAACAACATTCACATTGGCTACAACGATGTAAATGATTGAACAACAGCCACTAGATAATTGAAAGGGAAGGCAGCAGAATTACAAAGAACAAGCATGGGCTCAAAGAAGAAAAGGGAGAAGCTTCACCAATTCTCTTGCATAGCTTGGAGGCATTTGTCTTTTCAGACTTTTTCAATGTATCCATTTTGATGATTTTTTTCTCTTCTTCCCCTTTTCCTTTTTTTTGTTTAAAAATATTCTTTATTATAAAGGATGACTTTCTGGGAAGAGGCAGTTTGAAGGAATACTATGGAAAATATAACAATGTAAAAGCAAAAGAGGTTAATTAAACTTTATTTTTAAAAGAAAATCACTTGAAAAATTTTAAAGAACAAACGTCCCCAAAAAGGAGATATGAGAAAATATCTCCTCCTTTGCCCCCTCCTTTGCAGAGGTGGCTGGAACATTGCATGTGATTTCAATTTTTAAAATTATGCTGATCAGTTTTGCTGAATTTTTCTTCTATTACTTTTTAAAAATTCTTTATTATAAGGGATGGCTTTCTGAGAGGAGGGGGAAGAAAAGGACAGGAAGAAATCTAGGTGATGGAAAAGCAAAATATAGCAATAAAAATCTATTTAAATAATTTTTAAAGACAATGGTGGGGGCAGCTAGGTGGCACGGTGGATAGAGCACAGGTTCTGGAGTCAGAAAAAACCGGGTTCAAATCTGACCTCAGATACTAACTGTGTGATGCTGGGCAAGTTACTTAACCCCTCCCAGAATAAAACTGGAGAAGGAAATGCAAACCACTCTAGTATGTTTGCCAAGAAAACCCCACGGATGGTTGGTTCACAGGGTCAGAAAGAGTTGGAGACAACTAACCACCAATAATAGCCACTTCTGCATATGCTTCTTTTAGGAGGAACATATCAAAGGCTACCCTACCAGCGATACATGGGATACTTATAGTATGGTTTAACACGAAAGAAAAAGAAAATGAAAGCACAATTAAATGAAAGGGCCGTTAGAGAAGTAGAGGGCAACCATGCTGTATGGTGGTCCATCAGGGTAAAGGCACTACATTTGAAGTCATAGGACTGAGGTTCAAATCTCAGCTTTGCCATTTATTCCCTGTGTGAACATTAGTGAATCACAACCTTTCTGGGCCTCAGTTTCTTAGAAAATGGGAATATTAGACTAAATGACCCCAATGGTCCTTTCCAGGTTTAAATCTATGATCCTAAGAACGCATTATGGAGAAATAAAGATGGTGGGGGAGAAGAAATATGTGTGCATCTGAGACATAAATGAAGCTACCCACTAAGTGTCAGTGACTGGAGCATTCTTAGAATACAGTTAGCATCCTTGTGGCCTTGTCTGAGACATCCTATGAAGTCAAAGTAACTTGCCCACATTTGTTTTTGAATGAAAAGCCTTGTGCCTCCCACATGTACTAGCTCAATTGACTCGTGAATGGTAGCCTACACATACACAATTGAGAACTGAAGAGATAATTAATTCGGAGGTGGAAACAGAGTAGACTTGTGAATGAACAAAGCTTCTAAAACTGAGATGGCTAAGATGTATTTCGTTGACAATTTTGTCCTTTCAGCATTCATGGGAATGACTTTTTAGACTCCTTCACATGCTATTTGCCTGAGGATTCCCTCTTGATTCAAGCATTCTGAATTGCAAGTAACCACCACTTTTGCCATCTTCCAGAAGGTGTGCTGGTTGCATACACACTAAGTAAGAAGGCATTTTTTCCTGTACTGGAAGTAGAAACACAAGAGATCAGGAATAATGTTTTGGTTTTTTTTTTTGGGGGGGGGAGGTGGTAGCAGTTTGTTCAAGTTATTTTTTACTCAAAAAATGGCCATTGAATGAAAGAGGGAAGAATTCCAGCCCTGAACCTAAAAGATTTCTTTCATAATACAGTGGAAAGAATGACATCTTCTGACAATGTATGCAATATTCTGCTCCTTCAGGCCCCACCTTTTTATTGAAAGGAAGTATGTTTTATCATGTTTTCCAGAACCAAGTTTGATCATTAAAACTGCTCAAAGTTCCAACCCTCTCCTTTTATAGAGTCAGAGGACCTGGTATCAAAACCTACTCCTGCAACTTCCCATCTATGGGACCTTGGTCAAGTCAAATAATCCTTTTCATCCTCGATTTCCTCATCTGTAAAGTGAATAGGTTGGCCTAGATGCTCTCTGAGTTCCCATCCAGAACTAGAGTAATGACCCTACTAATGGATGGTCTCTAAGGTCCTTCCAAGCACTAAATCTATGATGTTTTGATATTATTGTATTGTATGATTTAGCTGTGGTAGACCATCATACTTCAAACCTCTGGTGCATAAGCATGCACACACACTCACACACTCACACACACACACACACACACACACACACACTCTGAATGAAAAAGAATTAAGGATTTCAAGTCAGAAAAAAAAGCCTACCTTTCTGGAGATGGAAGGAGAAATATCTAGTTTAATTCTTTCATTTCAGAGATAAGTAAACTGATGCCTAGAGAGTTTAGGTAACTTCAGTGGAACATAGATTTAGCATCAGAAGTGACCAAGGAGACCCCAAGGCTAGGTGATAGTAGAAAGAGCACAACTTTGAGTCATTAAACTCAGGTTTTTGTTCTCTTCCTAACTAGTTATATCACAGAGGGGAAGTCAGATCCCTTCTGAGGCTCTCTGCAAACCTTAGGGCTCCTAGGTGGAGCAGTGGATAGAGTGCTGGACCTGGAGTCAGGAAGACTGATCTTTCTGAGTTCAAATGCAGCCTCAGAAACTAGCTGTATGAATCTGGCCAAGTCTTATAATGCTTTTGCCCCAGTTTCTCATCTGCAAAATGAGCTGGAGAAATTCACAGCAAACCACTGCAGTATCTTTGCCAAGAGAACCCCAAATGGGGTTGTAAAGAGTAGAACATGACCGAAATGACTGGACAACAACTGTAGTCCTCAGCTCCTCTTCATCTTAAAAGGAGAGGGTTAGTCTAATATATAAAATAAAGGTTAGGTCTTTTCCCTAACTGAAATCCTGTGAAAATTAGGTGATAGCCTACACTTTGAATACACTGAAGTATTTGATCAAAGAATCAGAGATTTAGGACTAGAAGGGATCTTTAAGGTCATCTAGTCCAATTCTCTTAGCTAACAGATGAGGAAAATGAGGCCCAGAAAAATTCAGTGACTTACCATCACATAGACAGTAACACAGTCTGGATCTGAACCCAGGTTCTCTGATGTCAGGTCTAGAGTACCTTCTATCGTACTATGTTGCCTCAACTTCCTAGGTAATGTGGCTATTAAAACTTGTGGCCCACAGTCACAGAATTCATAGGAAGACATGCTGTTATGTGGTACAACTTCAGGAGTTAAGTCTTATTAGTCATTTATATCCTAGAGTGAATGAATTTATCAGAGCAGAGCTTCATGGATAGGAGAAGAGGAGGGATACTAAGAACGGGGTATCTGCAGGGGTGGAACAAGGCACAGCACAGCAAAAACAAAACTCCCAACAAACCTAGCAGTCTGATACCTTGTGGAAATAGCACTGTATGTAGATGAGACCAGGATGTATTCAATGTTGCTTCTATTTCTTATGACCTGTGTGACAACGGACAAATTTCTGGGCCTCTCTGTAAAAGAAGAGGGTTGGAACGCTAAGTAATTTTAACAGTCAACTTTGGTCTTGCAAAAGAGATGATAAAACAGACTTCCCTCCTTTCTACAGAAAGATGGGGGTAAGGAGAAGAGCTATAGGAGCAGAATATTATACACATTGTAAGGCGATATCACTGTGATTAATTGGTTTGCTTCACCGTCTTCCTTCATTTTAAAGGCAAGTGATGCCTGGCGTAGGCTAGGGAGGATGTTATGTATGTTATGTACAGAAATGGCTGCAATGTCAAAGAAGACACTAATAAAACTTTTTAATTTAAAAAGAGTTGTCCTAAATGATCTCTGAGGTCCTTCCAATTCTTAATCATGTACTTATAGGACCTAAAGCTCTCTGAAAGGTTTCTGTCTTCCACAGAGCCCACCTCAAGTGGGACTATTGCTTTACAATGTAGTCACATTGAGCTATCTTTATTATGTCATTACATTCCTGGATCTAGAGTCTCGTCAACTGTACATGCAGATAAGAATGATTGAATCACAGAATGTTAGAGCTTGGGGGGCCTTAAAGATCATCCAGCCCAAGTCTCTCTTTTTCCAGATATGAAATAACTTTCCAAAGGTCCCACCAATAAGAGCCCAGACAAGTCGAGTATCTAGGTCTCCTGACTCCCAACCCAGTGCCCTTTTCACTACATCATAAACTCCTAACAAACAAAGCACTAAAGAATTTTAGTCTTTTTAGGGAAAGAACGTGGGGCACTTTTATTTTTCCCTCCCAAAGAGGATTGCAACACTCCTACCTTGCTGAGATAAGCCATCTTCTCTCACCTTTTCACATGGCTGCTTTTGTTTTTCCAGTTCTATAAGGAAAGATGACTTACTCCTTGGAAATCTTATTTGGCATTTTATTTAGACAAAGTGATCTTTTAAATGGATCCAGAGTTTCTTTTTGGAAGATGACTAAATTTCACCTCGCACATCATAAGGCTAATGTTAACCAAGTTAGTTGTTTAAATCATGTCCAGGGCTTGGTTACATGGGCTCTCCCTTTGTCTCTGTTTCTCTCCCAGTCTCCTTTGTGTTTGACACAAAAGGATGGGGGCCTCCAGGATCATCTGGAAATGGATCAGTGTATTCATGTGTGAGGTTTACAAAGGCAGAGGGAGTAAAGGTGTCACTGAGCGTTAGAAGTCATTCAATCACACCCATGTCTTCATACACAGTGAAAAGGGACAGGGTCCTGCATGTCAACTCTCCACAAAGCTTTGTCTCTTCATTCCCTGGCCACTTCTCTGAGGTAATGGCCCTTTTGCCTGCCTTTCTCCTAAATTGGGCATGGGCTTGGAAGATGACTTGGTCTTTCTTAGCCCCTCAGTTAATGCTCTGTTCCTGGCCAGTGCTTTAGCAGCACAAATAGAGTTTTAAAGACAGATTCAGATCTTACCTGGTATTTTGTTTTCCTTTAACTGAGCTTTATGGAAATGGTGCCTTCCCTAAAATAAAATTTTTAAAATAGTCTTAATATTCAAGATGACACAGAGGGTATGCAAGAAGAAAAGAGCTGTCTAGGACAAAATCAGAAGGACTCCTGGATATGCTCTTCCTACCTATGTTCAATTGCTTCTCAGACTGCCTTTTTCCACCCATCATGTGCAAAAATCAATTTGGAAAAGGAATATAAAAGGGTTATAATGTATTTAGAAAATTTTGTCTGTCCCTGAGCCTGAAACAGATTTATGAGACTTTTGATACAGGCGCCATCTGCTGGAAGTTTGGGGTATTGTCACACGGAACTCTGGCAGCTCCAGTCCTCTCTAATCACACGCATGCTTAATGAATGTCTGGTCATTAATTCAAATGAACAGTAATTCCTGACACTAAAGCACAGTGCAGTCTTTTGCTGACTGAAGATTTATGGCTTTTAAAATACATTTTCATACCTGGGAGGGTTGGAGAGGAGGGTAAGAAGTCTGCTTTGCTCTTCACATGTCATCCTAGATCACTAAACATCATCTGGTTAGCCTGTGGTTATATAAAAATAGAGCAAATAAGTGATCATTTTCAGAAAAAAAAAATTATGGCTTTGTGAAAAAAAAAGCACGTAGAAAAGGTAAAACATAAGAAATGAAAGAGAAAAGGAAAAGAGAGGGAGGTGCCTTAGGAAAGAAACAAGAAAATTATCAAACAGAGATATACAGGAATAAAAAGTATATCAAATTTAAAACACATGTGAGAAATAAAGCTAGGCTAAACTGCTAATTATGTCTTTGGGCAGGTCTTTTCTACACTGATTATCATGATCTTAACCCCCCCACTCTCCCCACCCCCCCATTTCCACCACAATCTCACTGTTGGAGCAGCAGCTATACAGGGAATGACATAGTCCTCTTCCCTGAGAAATGTCATGCAATGGTCAAATAATACCAGGTAACTCCAATTTGTGAGGGGAAAAACTCACCAGAAGACATCCCCAGAAAGAACCAATGGTCGCCAGTGGAGAGAACATCCAGAAACAATATCCCTCAAAGCATCTGTATCCAAAGAGAACAAAGCCAGGTTTGGGAGAGGAAAGAGACTGTGACAAAAGACCAAGTCAACTGACACACCAGGTAGGGTGTGCAAAGAAGTGAGACCCTCAGTCAAGGATATATATCTGCATCTCACTGAGACAGGACATGAAGAGTTTGCTGTAAGAGATGTAGTGTTCCATCTCATTATCAAGACCCACACAGGATAATGAGGGCTTTTTTTTCTTTTTCAGATGAAATATAGAACAGTGCTCAACACCAGACATTTCTCACATGCTTCCCATCATGAGGAAACTGTGGAAATGTGAGCCTAAAAGTTGCCGGCTCTAACTCGGTCTCTGAGTCACACATAAACATATATGGCCAAGAAGAGGAAAGGGGCAAACAAAATATCAAACAGATGAGGAGAGAAAGGGAAAGAGGTTTCCAGACGTATTACCAATTTGCCTGCATTACTTCTCAGTGTGTTAACTTCTAACATCAGCCATTACTAAGGATCCCGTTTACCCTGATTTTGCCTTTGGTTTCTAAATGGAGAGCAGCATTATGTAATCGTCCTAATGAGGTAATAGAACCGTAAGAGCAAAGGCAAGCTTGATAGGGTTGCCTCCACATTCATCTTCTGCTGCTTTGGTTTGCTCTTGCTTGTGTCCCCCACCCCCACCCCACCCCCGCCAGTCCTCCTCCCTCCTTCCCCAACTGGCTGAGTCTTGAGTCCCAGAGGACATCTCGTTGGCTATTATTTATAATAAGTCTTTCTCCTCTTGGCAAGATGGAGAACAGCTGCTGGTATATTCTCTGACACAAAGACCAACTTCCTTCTTTTGCCCTGGGTGTTTGGAAGGCAGTCTGGGAAGAAGAGTAATTTATAGTTGTGTTACGGCACCTCTGTTTTCTTTTATGTTTATTTATATGCCTTCCATTTCTGTCTTGGATTTCTGGGATAATCATAATCACTCCACAGCCAGCATCTTCTTTTCTGGGGAGTCTCTGGCAACATTTGAAGGCATTTTCCTTTGTGAAGTCAGGCATTTTGGAAATCTCTGCTGAAGGGAGTGGCAGGCACTTCTTCCTCGATAGTCATGGGAGTGTCTATATGTTTGTTTTGAAGTTGTGAGTCAATGACCATTCTCAATGAGCAGACCCCTCCCCATGTTACATAAGCAATAAACAATGACAGATGAGTACATGCGGCTGCAGTTTAATGTGTAACCTGGGGAGAGGGATGGGGTCAACTGTATTTAGAACTCTTTGGCTTCTAAGATATAAACTCTGGGTATGTGGAGTCCAGACATAACTTTCCCAAGGTTGGGTCATAGTCTAGTTCTCACTTTGGGCCTGAGAAAACAGAGATCTGGAACTAAAGTGACCCCAAGAGTCACAACTCTAGCCATAGTATCACTGATCTAGAGCTGGAAGGGACCCCAGAAGGCCATCTCTTCCAATGTGCTTATTTTATAGATGAGGGAACTAAGGGCCAAAGACCCTGTTACTTGCCCAAGGTCACATAGACAGTAAGTATCATAAGATAAATTTGAACCCAGGTCTTCTGACTCTAGAACTATTTCTTATTCTGCAGTACTGCATCTGGGAAGAGGTTGGAGAGGCTATAGAGGCTCAAGTGGGGAGAACATTTCCATACAATTCCATCTAACAAGAATGGATTCAGTAACTCTTATATCAAGTCAGAAAGAGTTTATTAAGCACTTACTATGTACCTTGCCAAACACTCTGCTAAGTGCTGGGAATACAAATAAAGGCAAAAACATAGCTCCTGCCCTCAAGGAGTTTATATTCTAATAAATGAGAAAATATATAAACCACTAGGTATGTATATGACAAAGCAGATGAAAAGCAGTCTGAGCAGGGAGAGTATTAGCAGTTGGAGGTTGAGGAAAGGATGTCTCTAGTAGATGGGATTTAAGTTGTCTTGAAGGGAGCTTTTTGTTTGTGTTTCATTCTTGAAGAAGGCCGGTGACATCAGGAAGGTGATGTCTTGACTTGAAAGTGAATTGGATTTAAACAGGGCAGAGCTGTGCAAAGTCACCAGCCCTGCGGAAAGAAGAGAGAACATTTTAGGCATGTAGGGAAGCCAATGCAAAAGCATGGGGACTGCAGTGGTGTGAACTGTCTGAAAGATGACATATAGAGGAATGCGGTTGGATCATATAGTATATAGTGGAGAGTAAAGTGTGGAAAGACTGAAAAGATAGAAAAGAGGAAGGACTTTGAATGTCAAGCACAGTAATTTATATTTGATCCTGCAGGTAATAGGGAGCCACTGCTGCTCATTGAGTAGGAGAGTGACATGGTCAAACTTAATTTTTTTTTAAATCACCCTGGCAGCTGAGTGGAGGAGGGATCAAAGTGAGGAGAAATTTAAATTTAAGGCAGGGGGACCAGTGAGATGTCTATTGCAAGAGTCCACATGAAAGGTAATATAGGTGAAAGACCTTCTACAGGAAGCGTTTTCTAATGTCTCTTAATTATCCAATCCAATCCAGTAAATATTTGTTAAGTACCTACTTATGTGTCTGGCACTGTGCTAAATGCTGGGAACACAATTTTTTTTAAAAGTCAGTCCTGCCCTCGCAAAGCTTACAGTCTAATGGAAGGTGGGAAGGGGAGAACAGGAGGTATCCAGGCACAGGAACATTTTCCTCCATGGAACTGAAACCAGGCAGAGCAGCAGATGCAGAGTGGAATGAGCTGAGAAAGTCCGGTTTCTGCCCTCCATAAAGGAAGGCATTGGGAGGAATTTGGTAGTCCACCCTCCTGCCTTCCAGTCAGAAGGGAGAGGAGGCTGAGTAAGGTGGTGTCAGTGAAGATGAGCTAGCAGAATGGTGGTGAGTTTAGAGGTGATGAGTGTATCCTAGGAAGTGTTTCTTGTTCCGTGGATTTGAAACTAGGCAGAATAGCAGATGCAAAGTACCTTACCTCTGTTGATTTTTTTATAGCATATCTTATAAAATGTCTGTTGTGTTGATTTAATTTTCAGGCAGTACATCCTCAGCCTAACACTTTTTTTTATATCAAGACATTTAACTATCACTGTTATTTTGGCAATCTTGTGACATAAATGTGAATTATTATTTTAAACTGTGATTTCAAGGATTTTAGATTTAGAACCATAAGAGACCTTAGAATTCATGTAGTCCAACCCTTTATGGATTATTAAACTAAGACCAAAAGAGAGATGTGAATACAAGATCACAAAGTTCTAAGTGGTAGAGCTGATTTTGAACCCAGCTCTTCTCATTCCAGATCCAGCATTCTTTCCCCAGTACCACAATAGTCTATGGAATAGATAATTTTTAGTATTGAGGCAACATGGAGAAGTTGGATAATTGCCCAGATCCTCAAGAGTCAGCTCTGATCTTTTAGTCCCTCCCAGATCTGAAAGCCCATGACCTACTAAAACATAATGACAATATGCATTCTGTCAATATATATTATTTTTTTTTTATTATGTCTTCCCACTTCGCCCAGTGAGGGTTTATCAAGGATTGACAAATGAAAAGTGAGTTTAAGGAAGAAAGAACATTCAGAGTTGGTTGAGGCCAATCCCAGGTGTGGTCTTTAGTGTCAAAGGCTGTATTCCTAGCCTGTAGATCCTAGTCATTTGGCTTGCCAGAAGCAACAGCCCTGGAAATTTCAGTTGCTGACATGAGTAGTTAGAAGTGTTCTTGTTGTAGTATATCAGAATCATGCCCTCTGAGTTAGAAGGGGCTTCAGAAGTCACTCCATGCCTGGACAGAAGTCCCCTAGCAAGGTTTTAAAGTACTGCAAGCTCCATATTGGTTGACAATGAAACATGGTAACAAAAAAGAAAAAATGCTAATAGAGGCAATGTGGATGCAAAGGAAAAGGCACTGGATTTGGAATCGAAGCACCAGGATTGAAATCCTGGCTCAGTCACTGGCTGGATGTGCCTTCACAAAGCTAAGTGTCATCCCAAATAACTACACTTCCTAGCAATAGTGCTGCCCAGAGGAATCACTCAAACATGGCCTGAACATTTCACTTGGTGTCACAACCTCCAAAATATGTCAAGGTCCTTTTCTTCTTCCATCCATGTCCCCTTGCTCTGAATCTTTTTCTGCAGTGAGAAACTTCCCCCTTTATGTAGCTATAGGCATACCTACCCTTCAAACTCACCTCATACTTCATATCTACTCTCCACAGAGTGACAGCAATATTCCTAAAGTGCAGATTTGACCATATTTCAGTAACCTACTCAGTAAATTCTAATGGCTGCCTATCACTTCTAGGATCAAATATAAACTCCTTTGTTTGGCTTTCAAAACCCTTCATAATCTGGCCCCTTCCTACCTTTCTAGTCTTTTTATGCCCTACTTTGCTCCACACTTCCTTTTGTACATCCCACCAGCATCTTAAACTCAACTCCTCATCTTTTTTTTCTCCAAACCTGCTTCTCTTCCTGACTGCCCTGTTTCTATTAGAAGTTTCCTGTTGTTTCAACCTCTGCAATAAGACCTTCATTTTCTCCTCACCATTCTCACTGACACCACAAGACCCTTATTACCACCCACCTGGACCATTACTGGATATTCCTAATCAGTGTTTCCACATCCTCATTCCCTCCTCCCTTCCTCAAGTCACGCATTCTGCCAGTTTAATTGTTCTTATGCAGGGGTCTATTCATGTCTCTCCTCTGGGTAAATACTTTAATGACTCCATTTCCAAAGTTCAAACTTTTTACCCCACCATTTAAGGCCTCCATAATCAAGCATCACTCTATCTTTGTGGCCCAATTTCTCACTACTCTCTACCATGTTCTCCATGCTCTAGCTAAATTAAACTATTTACCATCTCCCATACCTGTTTTGCCACGTACTAGAGTAGATTCCAGGATTTCTATCTGTCCCTGGGTCAAAGAACAGAAATTACGTGATCTCGACACAGCAGAACAGAGCTGGTGTACAGAGATCAAACTAGCCTGTCTTTGGCAGTAGTCACCATGGACCCTTCCATAGTTTGGGAGAGAATGAGAGAGAATGGATAATAAGTAAGTCTCCAGGACATAAGTGAGTCTCCAGAGCAATATAACTATACTGGTCCCTTGTATGTTTATTCTGTATGGCCTTCAATGCTATTCCTCTAAGAAATACAATCATAAAGTAGCAGAAACTATATGTACTTCCCAAGTGCCTACATGGGGGCTTGTGATTGCAACCTGTGCTTTTCCAGAGCAGAGAGACAAAGATCATTAAAAAGAGGATATGACTAATGATAATACACATCACAGATTCAGCCTAGAGATTCGTATCTGATCCTCAATGACTAAGCACAATGCTTAGTCCCAAAAGAAAGGATACTTGGTGATGGGCACCAGGATAATTATAAACCCCATCCCAAAAGCCACCTCCTCCATGAAGCTCCCTTGATCTCACCAGTCAGTAATGATGTTTCCTCTTCAGACCTTACATAGTACATAGTTTATCTATATCTTATAGCTTCTTCATATATTGCAGTTATTCATATAT